TAAACACTTCATTTACAAATACTCTGGTCACTTCGACTTTGCACCGACCCTTGCCGACCACCAGCTAGGAATGCAGCAGCTCCCTCTGAGCCTTTTCCCTGAGAACCGACCACGAAAGTACGAAGGTGATAAGGGTTTAGGGTTTAGGGTTTTAGGGTTTAGGGTTTCGGATTTAAGGTTACCTGTTGCGAGTCACAGAGTTGCTGATGCCTGCAGACTATCGGGGACGCCATCGCGATGTCGGTCAAGCCCGTGTGCCGCAATGTCCGGTCTGCCTGAACCACACGCTTCAGCCCTCCAGCCAAATTGATGCAACACTGGATCCGCAACACTGGAGTTTTGTTGGGGAAGCTGCCATTTTCTGCACAGCCCCCTTTAATGTCGGAGGGCCCCTTATCAGGTGTCCCTATGACTATTGAAAGCCAAAAGCAAGGTCCCCTATCATCTGAGCCGCAAGCCAGTCTGGTTCGAATGCACCGCAGTGACAGGCTCTGCCAGAGCCTAGGAGCACAGGCTTCAAGGCGGCTTCCTGGAACCAACCCCCTTTTATAGACCTTGAGGCCTAGGATTCCTGTTATAGTAAACCCTAAACCAGGGTTTAGGGTTTAGGGTTTAACCCTGAACCCCAAACCCCCACAGCATGGACCGTCCCAGTTTTGGGGAAGGGAGTGGTTTCGGAATGGACGCTTATAGAAGCGAACCCCTTTCGGCGAGCTGCAGTTCTCATGACAAAGCTTGATCCCGGAACCCAAACACCTTAGGCTCATGAGTTCGAGCCAGTGGAGCTGCCAAAAAATCACGGGATGCTGGGACATAGGGCAAAAGAGCTCCACCCCTAAACCCCAAAACTCTGAACCCAAACCCCAAAACCCAAACCCCAAAACCCTGCACCCTAAACCACGAACCCTAAATCCTGAACCCTAAACCCTAACCCCAACCCTAAACCCAAAACTCTTACCCAAGGCCCAAAACCCAAAAGAGTTCCTTTTTCAGGCTCCGGCTGGCGCTGGGGTTGGACCCTGGCCATGCAACCTCGGGTCTATAGGTCCAGGGTTCGAGGGTTCAGTGTTTGAGGTTTAGGGTTTTATGGTTCAGCGTTTAAGGCGTCGCGGCTCGAGGCTATTGACCTGGGTTTCTGATCTTTAAGTGCCCTGGTTTTAGCCGCTTCCCGACCGCAGCTACTTTCTCTTGTTTGTGTAGCGCCTTGCGACTCTTCGCAATCGCAAACGTCATCTTGGCATTGCATATTGCATTGGTTGGTTATGTCAATCTGGCCATCCGTCAAATCCACTCCGTTCCCTTTGATGTCATTACCGAGTGGGATGGTTTCTGCTGCCGAGGGCTCGATTTCGGGCTGCGGGCTTTGGGTGCCCTGCGGGGTCCTGGCTGCTCAATAGACTTGTACGGCCACTATCACCGGCACAAATACCAGTACGACACTGTCTACCTCTGCGGCCACTATTACCAGCACGGTGACCAGCACGACGCAGTCTACTACGACGGTGCTCCCGGACACTGCCACCAGCATGGAGTACCGAAGCCACCGCCACCAGCACAGTGACCAGCACCCTGCCTACTACGACGGTGACAATGGGCACCGCCGCCAGCGCGGGGCCCAGCACGACGCTGTCTACCACCTTGGTGACCGCGGCCACCGTGACTTGTTCTTACGGTCTTTTGCGTTTTCCTTTAAGGCCTTGATTGGGGTCAGGCACTCAGGGTTTTTGCTCGCGTGCACGCCCCAGGCGTCTCGCCGCTCCTCACCAATCTTTTCGATAGGTGATATGCGACGCCTGTGTTCTTTGATGCATGAAGGGCCTGCAAGTGCCGGCTTTTCCAGGAGCGTCCATGCTCACACCCCGATGCGTGCATGGACTTTTCACTCCACTCTCTTTTGAGCAGGACGCTTTGACCTCTATGCAACGAAGTGAAGTCTAAGTGAAGTTCAGGGTTTAGGATTCAGGGATTTAGGGTTTAGAGTTCAGGGTGTAGGGTTCCAGGTTCACGGTTTAGGGTTTAGGGTTCAGGGTTTACGGTCTAGGGCTCAGGTGTAGCTGCAAAGGTCTATAGGGGTTCGGTTCTATGTAGGGGTTCACAGGGTGTCCAAGAGGTTTCGGGGTTTTAGGGCTCAGGGTTCAGATTCGGGCAGGGTCATGTGAAGGATGCTTACAGGCTGTCTACTGGTCTGGGTCGAGGAGTCAGGTTTTCAGGATTTGTACAGCTGCATCGTGGCATACTGGATACAACGGCCGACCAAAAAAAAAGCCGCATATGCCTAGTTCACTCTGTCTGACTGAAGAACAGGTCGTGAAGCGCCGTTCTCTCAAATGGTTTAACTTTCTCGCGGAGCCAGAGCCTGCTAACACGAGGGGACACAAACATGCCTGTCAAAGAACGGAAGCCTCGCAAAATACGGAACCTCATGGGACCATACGAACCTGGAATAGTAGGATCCTCATTGAACGGCCAGACAAAGTGGAGCGTGTACTTCAAGGAACCAGCTCGCCCCTTGCCCAGTGTGCACTGGGTGCCACACGCCATGAAAGGAACCAAAGCTGAACACTGTGTGTTCAGTGCAGCCTCCTCGAACTACCACCATGCGCTGCGGATTCTGTTGTGGGTAGGCTCTGGGTCTTGCAGGTTTTCCGGGAGTTTCGGTGCAGTCATCCCACGGGCTCATGATTCATGGAGCCCGGCCCAAGCTTGAATTGACTGTGGGGGTCTGATGTGTTGAGCCGCGCTAGAAAAGCAGGTACGCTGCGGAGTGCGAAGCGAAGGCATCATTATCGATCATGCCGATGCCGCCCGCCATGCTGGCTTCATTTACACTGCCGCTGGCCCTTCCGAGACCTCTCAGCCCCGGGAAAAATCGACGTCCTCTTCAAGCATAGGAGACTTCAGAGTTCGAATGTGCCGAAAGAGCTTGGAAGTCTTCATGCCCAATGAAGTAAGAACTACGAACATCATCGGCGATCCAAGATGCAAGGACCAGGAGCTGCAAAGTGGCAAGACAAAGGTAAGCGGGTGTTGGAAGCTGTCACGAGCCAGTACTTCCACATCGAATATTACATCAATTTGCGTACTCAACACATTGCTGCTACAACCCCAGACGATCAAGCTCCGTCAAACGATGTCAGTAGTTAGTTCTGGCCTCAGCACGTCCCAGCCTTTTCCTGCATGCCATCTGCACTGCCAAGTCAGCCGCAGCAAAGGGCAGTCGGTGGTGGCATCGGGCTGGGAAGGCCTTGATGAGGTTTGCCTTCAATTAGCACACTAAAGTAATCAAACATCAATGAAAGGCAGGACGAGGTGAAACGCTGCCACCTTGGAAAAGACTTCGATCCTGCTCTATGAACCGGTGTGAGAAACCCCATCACGCTCAGACTTCAGCCCTTCCATCGATTTCTCATCTTCACCTTGCTTTGTTTAGCGTGTTGTAACCAGCAGGTCAAGCAAAGGTGGCACGACTCCCTGGACCCCTGAAACCCTAAACCCTAGCCCGGTGTTGAAGTCTAGCGTGAGTAGCTAGCTCCAGGCAGTCGTGCCTGGAGACACTCAGTGCAAAGGTGCGTCTAGCAAAAGCAACAACATGCAACAGCTCGGCATGCCCATAATAGGAAAACGGCCACGCTTAGCATTAGGCTGCTGAGCTGCCTGCTTCAGGTCAACATGCCGGACTTGTCTTTCACTCGCGTGTTGACAGATTAACATGATAGTTTGGGCTATGCTACAGACATAAACAGCCTGACAGCATCACGAAGAGTAGTGACAATGAGCACAGCCATGGCACTCAACGTAGTAGCATAACAACTGAACCAATGCTTTATAGGGCACGACTCATTCTGACCGTGATCATGGCCGGCCCATCGTGGTTGTTGCTCAGCATTTCAGAATGCTACAACTAGCCGTAGGCTTCATGCTTACTTTATTTTCCAGCTTCAAGCCGAAGATGACGCCAATGACATGGCGAGAGAGTGCTGATGGTCATATTCGTAGCCATCATGATCCGTACTTCAAGCACTATCCCTAACGGCAGAAGACCCCTGCAATAACCCGTTCTTCCATTCATTAACTCACGGCCTCACGGGTCCCCCCAAATCCCCTAAATCCGAAATCACCAAGTTCACCGCCTGCAGGGTCTTGGCCTCCCAGAATTCACCAATTCACCCCTCCCGGTTTAGGCTTTAGGGCTCAGAGTTCATTCACCTGTGCCCTAAACCCTAAACCCTAAACCCTAAACCCTAAACCCTAAACCCGAGCCACTGACGTTGAGGAGGCACCAGGCGAAGAAACCTGGCCGCAGGGAGAGGGCACAGGGCACTCTAAGGTACAGGGACGGGGAGGGGCAGCACAGTGCACTCCTGACCCTAAACCCTAAACCCTAAACCCTAGACCCTACACCCTAGACCCTGAACCCTAAACTTTACGACCGTCCAACTTAACCTCCTGACACCTAACGTCCTACTTGCACTGCCTACCAACGTCACTCAATGGGCCGCCGGGTCGCAACGACGTCCCATGCGCTTAGCGTATATGTGGTAGCTTGGCTCTCCTCTTCGGACTGAAACCTTGATTCTTTTGTTACCCGGCACCTCCGTCATGTCAACATCAAGCGACTCAAGTGCACCATGCAGCCCAAATATCTTATCCTCTATTCCTAAACCCCAAACCCTGAACCCAAAGCCCTAAACCCTATTCTACTCTACTCCGCCTGAAGAATCGAAGATTTACATCAGGCGCACGGTCTCGGCCCCTCCAGGTGCTTCTGCTGCTCACGAGCAATCAGGGCTTTGATGCCAAACTGGCAGTGCAACCAACAATTGAATGCAACATAGTAGTCCTAATTCCTAACCATATCAAGACGACGAATAGTAGCAAGCGTAACACATTTAGTCGTAACTGCATTGCTCGTTCGGCTTCCCCAAGATGTGTGGAAAGGACGCGGGTCGCTTTTGCAACCCCGCCAGCTTAAAACCAGGGAGAGGCCCTTCATCTGTGCCTCAGTCGAACGTGGCACGTACGGTGTTCGTGTTGGCATCAGAAACCACCACGATGCGAAAGCGCTCAAAGGTCCACCCGCTTGGGAGGTCCTGCGGCGATTTCTTGCCACTGCTGTCTATCTTGGAATGCAGGCGAATCATGCGGTTGTGGGCTGAGTTGTGGAACACAAACTGGTCGTCTTCGGTAGGCACCACGGTGAAGCGCTCCCAGGACCCTAACTTGGTTCCAGTCTCCATTTTGGCGCCGTTCATTTTGAGGAACCGGTGGTGCTTGTTGCTGTAGAACGCTACCTGCGCGTTCCCGGCGTCCACCACGGTGAAGAGAGTGTCTGTCCAGCTCGGTGGCAGGTCATTACGACCCCTTCTCTGGGTGGGAGATAAGGAAGACCTTGATGTCATCTGGACGAAGCGGTTGTGTTTTCCGCAGTGCAGAGCGACGATGGTCCCGGGCTGCAAGTAAGGCTTGGCAGGCACAAGCTGAAACCGCTCCGACTTCCAACTTTTCGGCAAGCTTTGTGGGCTCTTCTTGCCGCTCGCATCCACCTCAGATTTCGTCATGCGAATCATGCGGTTGCGGAGTGAGTTGTGGAACACGAACTCTCCTTTCCCGGCAGGCACCACGGTGAAGCGCTCAGCCGTCCAGGTGCTCGGCAGGGCATCGACCGTTTTCGCTTTGCTGACAACCATCTTCTTGTCCCATGTCATCTTCATGAACCTCGGAATCTCAGACACTGGGGCTTTAGGGTCCCTTTTCGGGGTCTTGACAATGAGCATCCTCCACTCTTGGTTTCCACATTTGTTCTGAAAACTCCCACCTATTGTGCATGCTGTTGTGGAAGGCCACCTGGCCGTTGCCGGCGTCCACGACGGTGAAGCGCTCCCACTTCCAGGAGTCGGGGATGCCGTCGCCACTCCGCTCTGAGCTGCGGACGATGCGCCCATCCTTTGGCACCGCTTTGGCCACTTTGGGTTTAGGCGTCTTCGTGCTCGTGGTCACCTTTGTGGCTGTCTTCTTGGCTTCTTCCGCAGCCTTCTTGACTATATCCGTGATCTTCGGAAACGTGAACTTGAACGCAGGAAACTGGATGAGGGTGTCATTCTGCGTGTGGTTCGCGTAGCTTGCTCTGGCTCTGGCCAAGAGGAATGATCCTGGATTGCTGCCCGGGTTCATCTTCACATAGCGGCGGTGATGTTTGCACCAGAGGGCCACGGTGCTACCGGGCTGCAGGTAGGGCTTCACACGCACCACCCGAAAGCGTTCCCAGGTCCATGTGTCTGGCAAATCCCCGGGCTTCTTGCTCTTAGACATGTCAACCTTGCTGCCTGACATCCGAAGCATCTTGTTGTGCAATTTGTTGTAAAGAACGATCTCCCCGTTGCCCGCAGGGTAGACCTCAAACTTTAAGGAGCCCCAGTTGGGAAGCTTGTCCGCATTTCGGTGGGCGCTGGAGGCGCCCTTCGCCACAAAGCGATTGTGCACCGCATTGTGCAGCGCGATTCGGCTGCTTCCGGCATCCACCACAGTGAAGCGCTCCGAAGTCCAATCATGGGGCAGGTCGGTGACGTCCTTCTTGGAGCTTCGCGTCAGCTTACTGCCCTGCATCTTCACGAAGCGATTGTGCCGCCTGTTGTGGAGGGCGATCATGGTCCCCGGTACAAGAATCTTCTCTGCCGGCTTGATGACGAAGCGGGTCCATTTCCCACAAGCTTTATCCGATCCCACACCCTTGGACGTCATCTTCAAGCATGTCTTATGCTTCTTGTTGTACAGGCTGACCTCCCCGTTGCCTTCTTCCCTAATGGTCCATCGCATGGAGTCCCAGCTGCCGGGAAGCTTGTCGGCATCTTTCTTAGAGCTCCGGCTTCCGGCCCCCGCGAAGCGATTGAAGGCGGTGTTGTGCAGCGCAATGAACCCTTTCCCGGCGTCCACCACGGTGAAGCGCTCCCAATTCCAGTGGTCCGGTATGCCCCACTGCTTCAACCTCTCTGGTTCTCAGTAGGGAATGGGGGAATGAATCCCTCTGATAGTCCCCTAAGGTAGAAAATAATAGCCCCTGTAACCCATTCCCCCATTCCCGACGAGGAAATCTAAGAACAGGACAGGTAACTTTCCACTGGGCTCCATTTTCTTGGGAGCCATCTTCAGGTATCGGCCCGTTGCGGGTTGGTAGAGCGAAACGATGGAGCCCGGCGGCACGGAGAGGCCGCGTGACTTTCCCACGTCCTTCAAAGCGAAGTCCTAAACCCCAAACCCCAAACCCCAAACCCTAAACCCTAATCCCCAATCCCCAAACCCCAAACCCGAAACCCTCATCCCCAAACCCCAAACCCCAAACCCCAAACCCTAAACCCTAATCCCCAAACCCCAATCCCCAAACCCTAAGACCCGACGTCCTTCAAAGCGAAGTCCTTCAAAGCCTCCAATGCCGTCAGCTTGCTCCTTGTTGAGACGAAGGGCAAGCCGGCCAAGATGAGGGCGAACTGCCTGGGTTCTTGGGTTTAGGGCTTAGGGTTTAGGGTTTAGGGTTTAGGGTTTAGGGTTTAGGGTTTAGGGTTTAGGGTTTAGGGTCTAAGTTAGCGTAGCAAGGAAACCCTGTTATGTACGCATAGATCACTATTATGGAAACTTCAACTAAAATCCCTTAACAAGAGCCCAGCTGCTTGCCGATATCGACCAAAGGGATTCGCTTTGGGGGACTTTTGTAGGGGCCGAAGGCCATCTCCACTCCCAGCTCCAGTGTGTTGCCTGACATGAGACCTTCGATCCCGAAGTTCACCAGCCCTGGGCTCTTGAAAACGAAGAGCTTGAACTCCTCCAGGGTCTAGCGTTTAGGGTTTAGGCTTTAGGGTTTAAGGGTTTAGGCTTTAGGGTTTAAGGGTTTGGGGTTTAAAGGCTTAGGGCTTACAGGTTGAGGGCTTAAACTCCTCCAAACCAGAGCCAGAGCTCGAGCTCGCCATGTGACGGGCCGCCTCCTCGCCATGGGCCTCAAAGGCTTTAGGGTTTAGGGTTTAGGGATTAAGGTTTAGGGTTTGCGGGGTTTAGGCTTTAGGGTGAAGGGGTTGAGGTTTGGGGTTTGCAGGGTTTATGGTTTAGGGTTTAGGGGTTAAGGTTCAGGGTTTAGGGGTTAGGCGGTTAGGGTTTAGGTAAACCCTAAACCCTAAACCCTAAACTCGAAACTAGGGTTTGGGCCTCGAAGGTCTTGTCCACGGACGTGTTCAGCTCTGCCCCGTAGTCGACAGACGCCAGGTAGAGGTCTTCGGTCTCCGCCTTCCACTGCAAGCCCTCCTGGAGCACGGTTTAGGGTTCAGTAGGGTTTAGGGGTTAGGGTCTAGGTAAGGGTTTTCTAGGGTTTAGGGTTTAGGGTTTAGGGCTCCTGCTCCATCTCAACACGGGCCTTTGCCAGCTCTGCTGCTTCGCCTGCTTGGCCCTCCTGGGGGTTTCGGAAAATAGGTGACCCTAATGTCGGACCCTAAATAGTAGGATCCAAGAAGGTACCCTAAGGGACCTAATGTAGGACCCTAAATAGTAGGATCCAATAAGGTACCCTAAGGGACCCAAACGTAGGACCCTAAAGAGTAGGATCCAATAAGGTACCCTAAGGGACCCCAATGTAGGACCCTAAAGAGTAATGTAGGACCCTGAAGAGTAGGATCCAATATGGGACTTTGAGGGACCCGAATTTTCGGAAGCTCCCTTCCTGGCGCAGGCGGCTTTTGCTCTGAAGGAAGGAGCGTTTCAGCGAGTCCATCGGGATGCGCCCTTCGCCCTTGGCCAGGCCTGCCGCGTTCCGCCAAGTCTCGTAGGAGCCCTTGACGTTGCCGGTGGAGAAATCGGTGCTGCTGCCGAAGCGCTTGGTCAGACGCAAGGTGCGGCTGAAGAGCAGGATGCCTGCGGATCTGATCTCGGAGCGGAGTACGCTCAGATCCACACCCCCGGGCTGCTTGTTCGGCCAGCACACGGTCGTGGCCAACTCGAAGAGGGGCTTCGGTAGGACCTCAAACTGCAAGCCGCCCACGAAGGCTACGACCGGCTGCATTCCCATGGCGAAGGTCACCTTGACGCACTTCTCGATGGCCTTCTGCCCGAAGTAGAAGGAGTAGCCCTGCCACTTCTTCACGTTGTCCTTCATCCACGCATTGTCGCAGGGCACGGCCCATGGTTCCAGCTTCAGGAAATCGTCCTTTTTGTCGACCTGCCAATCGGATTTGCTCACTCCGTTGCCGTTTCGGGTCTTGGGAGCAAAGGCGAGGCACGAGCTGGTGTCTGTCTCTCTGCCGGAGAACTGGGTAAAAAGCTTGGTCGCGTGCACGTCGCCGCCACCCATAGCATAGGTGATGGCACCATCCGGGTCGGCTTCCTGGGTCGCATTGGTCTGCACAGCAGCCAACTCTCGATGAAGGTAGCTGCCAGGCGGCACATGCCCCGTGTGCGACTCGATCATTAAGTTCGTGCTCTTGTGGTGCAGCAAAGGGGGCTCGCCAGCAGCAGGGAACTTCGTCGTGGCGGCCGTTTGTACCAAAGAGGGTCCCTGCTCCATAGCTTTCTGAACCACCGTCGAAGCCACGTTGGCAAAAACCTCGATGACCTCGGTGAGGATATCCCCCATCTTAGTCAGGTAGTTGAATGGGGGCACCGTCTCGATTATCTTGCTGCCGATGCACATGATGAGACCCGTCGATGAGTCCGCGTTGACGCAATGTCTTAGGCCCTGTCCGAGGTTTATCACAACATTGAGGTAACTGCGGGTCGGCTCCGGGATCATCTTAATGATGTCAAAGGTCACACTTTTTTTGCCCAACTTGATGTCAAAGAGCGTGATTTTTTGGCCCATAAGGCTGACCTCGCACCTTTGCCGCCCGATATCGAAGGTGAGCGATCTGCCGTCGCGCTTGAGCTTTAGGTTGAAATTATTGGGGCATTTGGCGCTCCAGTCGGAGAAGCCTGCACAGTGCACAGAAACGGGAAAGATATTTATTGGCGCGAGGCTAGGACAGACAGGCCAAGAGCGAATGGCAAAGAACTGGCTGCCTTCTGGTCTGTTTCTATACGCTTGTCTGCATCGAGGCCTTTCACACCAGACCCAAGCTTTGCATCTTAGTTGGGTCCTAGTTCCTCCACGCGTGGGGGCCTGGGCATCAAAATCTAATTAAGCTGAGGGCTTCACTTCTCCACCCAAGAAAGCTCTCAAGCCGTTTCCCTGCTCCCCGTCCCTGCCTTTGATCAGGATGTTCACTGCCATCTCCACCGTGCTGATGGCCGTGTTCGCGACGAACTTGATGCCGTCGCCTGCTTGCTTGGCCTTCTCGTAAGCGCTGCTCAGTGCATCGCCGACCAACCCCGTGCCGTCCAAGCTGGGGGGAAAATGCATACATACGCGCGTGTGTGTGTGTGTGTGTAATATACATACATACATGCATACATGCATACATACATACATACATACATACATACATACATACATACACACACATACATACGTACGTACATACATACATACATACATACATACATACATACATACATATATGTATATATATACACACAAAAATACATAATTTTGACGTTGAGGTCGCTGCTCGA